AGTGGGAAAGAAAAGGAACGCGGAAAAGAGTATGTTTAAAGACTCAGAATAAGATCCGTTTGCAGAATGGCAGATGCAGTAGGCTGGACACAAGGACTTTTGTTTTTGTTTTTGTTTTTTTCTCCTACTCATTACTACAAAATGCAGTAATGATCAACAACTACTTGAGGAGGTGAGATACCTGCTTGGATCCCTTGTCAATGGCAGGATTACAGAACCAAGCGTTCAGATAAACGCTTCAGAAATGGCATGTCAGGAACACACTCCTAAAGTCAATACAGAGGTAGCATAAGTACAGGTGCATTACAGTGTTGGGGGGGGGGGGGGGGACGGGGACCATGGAGTGCATGTGGAGGTAACGAGGAGTGAAAATCTAAAAATTAGCAGGGCCAGTATCATAATAAATGACACACTACTACCACTTTCTCCTCCTCAAGTTTGCCACTGAAAATCAGTCCATCAAGCTGTTTGCAAAGCAAGAATAATAGACTTTTAGCTGAATATGATGGCTCATACATATAATTGGGAGGCAGAAATGGATAAGATTACAGTCTGGGATCAGCTAGGCAAAGAGCAAGACCTCATGTTAATAAGCCAGGCAGAGTAGTTTGTGCCTGTCATCCAAGTTACACAAGTACCAATAGGAGGATCAAAGTACAGGCCAGCCTGGACCAAAATACATACATGCACACATGCATACATTCATGCATACATATATACATACATACATTCATACATACAGAGATCCTATTCCAATAACTAAAATGAAGGACAATTTGGAAGCATGGCTTAAGTGGTAGTATACTGGCCTAGCAAGTATAAAATCCTGAGTTCAAACCCCAGTATTGGGGGGATGAGGGGGAGAAATAGACTTTGAGTAATAAGGTTCTATGTTCTCTGAGCCTTCTCATAGGTGAGTAATAGGGAAGAACTATGAGAAACACACTGCATGGTCAGGCCTCCAGCTATGACCCTAGATGAAGGTATCAATCTGCCATGTATTGTCATCCCCTAGGAGGGCCCAGAAGAAAACAGTGCCTATGAGCAGTTGCTGTCACATTTGGAAGAAATCAGTGAGGAAGGTCAGTTTGTGGGTTGCTGTTAGGATGGAGAGGGAGGGTTGAGCTGTGAACTGGCTTTGATTTTGAAAATTGTGAAGCTGACCAGTGGCAAACGGGAACAGGCAAACTACTGCTCACAGGCTTGATGGCTCAAACCCTAAAACCAACAGAAAAAAAATCAGAGTAAAAAAGAAATAGAAATATAACAACAACAACAACAACATAGTGCCTGGAACTTCAAGTTAAATGTCTTGGAAGTCTTTTCAGTCAACCCAGATCACTTTAAATGTCACTCTGCTGGATCTTTAGATCTTTGCTAAACTGGCAAGAAGAGTGCCTTTGGAATTTTTGTGTCTACTTTTTATAGTTATAAATATTAAGCTTATTTACAAGTTATTCAGTCTTTCTCTGTGTGTGTATGGTACTGGGGGTTGAACCCGGGACTCCAATTTGCTAAACAACCACCACAGCAAAGCACTCTTCCACTGAACTATAGCCCAAGACTCATTTATTTTTAATTTTTGTTGCTCATGGGACTTGAACTCAGGGCCTAAGGGCTGTTCCTGAACTCTTTTGCTCAAGGCTAGTGCTCTACCACTTTGAGCCACAGTGCCACTTCTGGTTTTCTGGTGGTTAATTGGAGTCTCATGGACTTTCCTGCCTGGGCTGGCTTTGACCTCAATCCTCAGACCTCAGCCTCCTGAGTAGCTAGGATTACAGGCGTGAGCCATCAGTGCCCAGCTCTTATGTTTATTTTTTTCTGGTAGTACTGTGATTTAAACTTAGGGCTTCACACTTGCTAAGCAAGTATTCTACACTTGAGCCATGTTTCCAGTGGTGTTTTTCCTTTTTAATTCACTTCTGGAATAAATCAGTGGTCTACCATCTTTTGTTTGTATGCAAAATAAGAGTGAAGACTGAGTAAGGTCTCCAAGCTCTCTTCTCTGAGGCCTCTTCCACTCCTTCTGAGTTATGTCTTGCCGGGAGTTATGGAAAGGAGTCACTGAGAGTGAAGTAGCCACCTCAGGGAGTTAATTGGTTGGGGGGTGAGGGTTAAAATCCTTACATGCCAGAGCTTCATGGGCAAGCTATCCAGGTGAGACACCAACACAAATCCTGTCTACAGGCTCACAGACTATGATCCCAGGACTGGATGTATCTTCACTGCTGCCCTCTGACCTCAGCCGATACTTCCGATATGACGGTTCCCTGACGACACCCCCCTGTGCCCAGGGAGTCATCTGGACTGTTTTTAACCAGACAGTGAAGCTGAGTGCAAAGCAGGTAAGGCTGGGCATGATACAACATGCAGGAGGTGCAAGGGTGAGGGGATGCAGGGTAAGATGATGACAGATCCATGGGCTGTGTAGGGGGTTGGAGTAGATGGAGGATGGCCCTGAGCGCTGGCTGGTGAGGGGGCCTGGGACTGTATATTTTTTGCTATGAGTCGATCTGTGCTTTCTATCTTGCCTTCCCTAGCTGCACACCCTCTCTGTTTCTCTATGGGCATTTCCTGACTCCCGGCTACAAATGAACTTCCGAGCCACACAGCCTTTGAATGGGCGAATGATCGAGGCCTCTTTCCCCGTTGTGGCAGACAGCAGCCCTGAGCCAGGTATAGCTTTTGGGGTCCCACACTGTCATATCCTGCTATACACAAGTCCCTTCTCCTTCTATGTCTTTATTATGCTTGAGTCTGCCACTGGTGTTCATAGTCCCCAGCTCTAATGTTTCCTTTTTCTCTTCAGTCCACGTGAATTCCTGCCTTGCTGCTGGTGAGTCTGTGTCCCTCTTGTTCCTGTTACTGGGGAACACCCCTTGGTAACATTCAGCCCCAGAGGCTAGTCAGACCAACTCTGCTATTGCACCCAAATCCAAGATGATAGTCATGTATTGTGACCCCAGTGGGGATTTCTTGACTGTCCCCAGGGCTTAGTGGAGAATGAAGTTCTAGAAATATCCTAGCATACCTCTCCCCAAACTCCTCTTTGCCCTAGCTGTTAGAAGGAAATGGTGATTTATTCCTTCTCATGTACTTGCCCCATTCCCAGCTGGCCTCTTCTGGAGATTTAGATGAGGCACCACCACTGAAGGGGGCTTGGAGGGACCCATGTGGGCCATGGCCTTACTATGTACCTTCCTTCTCTCTCCTAGGAGACATCCTGGCCCTAGTTTTTGGCTTCCTCTTTGCTGCTACCAGCATTGCCTTCCTGGTGCAGATGAGGAGAAAACTCAGGTATTTACTAAACCTTCTCCCAAACTCTGGACTTTATGCAACTTTCATGCAAATAAGCTCATCTAGGTCCAGTTTTCTGATTACCATTTCTTTCTTTTCTTGTGTGTGTGTAGTGGGGCTTGAACTCTGGGTCTGGGTGCTTTCCCTCAGCTCTTCAGCTCAAAGCTAGCACTCTACCACTTAAGCACTACTTCCAGTTTTCTGGTGGTTTATTGGAGATAAAAGTCTCACAGACTTTCCTATCTGGGCTAGTTTTGAACCATGATCCTCAGATCTCAGCCTCCGGAGTAGCCAGGACTGCAGGCGTGAGCAATGGGTGCCTGGCTGATTACCATTTCTTGTATAGACAAAGAAGTGGGACCAAAGACGGTGTTGGCTACAGCCCAGCAGAAATGGCAGAAACTGGAGCCTAGAGGCCTTGAACTTGGAGGATATTCAGAGAAGCCAGCTGAAAATTCTGAAAGAATCTGGAAATCTCATCCCAGCCCTTATACAATTCCAAGAAATTGTTTTTCTTCATATTTTCCCCTTAAACCACTGCAATGGAATCTTGTACTGCTAGGACAAGACTGGATTCAACTCTCAGATTCTTCTTTTTTTTTTTTTTGGGGACAGGGTCTTACTAGGTAATGCCAGGTTGGCCTGGAACTCATGAGTCTCCCATCCCAGCCTCCTGTGTATGCTTCTACCTTTAGCCCTCTGGGATTATTTTTACAATGTTTCTAATAAAGTATGTATAACAAAGTTATTTTTGTTCTTCAAAACTGGGGTGGCCTTTTAGTTTGTTATTGCTATTGTAACAAGTACCACGAACTTCCTGGTCTTTGACTCTTGTAGTTCTAGAGGTTAGAAGTCCAAAAGGGGCTTAATCCTGGTGTCAGCGTGTTCTTAGGGCAGAATGTTTCTTGGCCTTGTTTAAATTCTAGAAGTCATCTGTGTTCTGTGCTTATGAGTCCCTCCTCATATCCCTCTCGCCTCATTTCCATGGTCATATCTGGTTATTGCCTTTGGATTTGTTTTTACTCCTGATCCTATCCTCTTGTCTTTGCCACCTATGTGTGCTGCCACACCTGGCTCTTTTCTTTCTTTTGTAAGATTCCTTGTGATTCCTTTGAACCTGCTCTGTTAACCTAGGATGATCACATCTCTAATCCTTTACTTGGTCTCGAAGGTGCTATTTCCCAGTATACAGGGTAGACATCTGTGGGGAAGGGGAATTATTTTGCCCATCTGTTATCTACAAAGGGGCAGGTGTAACTGGTATTGTTGGAGTGGCTTTGTATGCATGCATATGTGTATGGAGAAGCAGTATGTGTTGAGAGGTGGGGTAGACTATGCTAGACTTAAAATCACATTGAGAAGCCAGATGCAGTGCCTTATACTTGCATTCTCAGTTATTCAGAAGGCTAAGGATCAAGAGGACCACAACTTGAGGCCAATCTGGTTTTTAAAAAAGGCAATAAAAAATCAAGACTACCTCAACAAGCTGTGTGGTGGTTCATTTTGTAATACTGGTTATGTGTAGGTAGGATTGTGGTCCAGGTTGGCAAAGGCCAAAATCATGAGACCCTATTTGAAAACTAAAGCACAAAGGGCTGTGGACAGAACTGAAAAGGAGGTCCTACTGCAGAGTCAAAACTGGCCCTATTCATTTAGGGCTCATTCCAATTTTACCACTGAGCAAAGACAGGCATTAAAGGTCCTGGGATGCTGGTATCAGCTCTTTTATTGGGGTGAGGCAGCCGCTGTAGCCTGTGTGGAGGCAGGGCTGGACCTCACAGGTTGTTGAGTTCCAGCAGGGTCTGGTCCAGGGTCTGGTGAATCTCCACGTTCTCCTCCTTGGCACTGGCCAAGGTCTCTGTGAGGGGAAGCAGCATGTGAGCAGGGGGAGGGAGACACGGACAGGGCATGATCACACAGACATGGAGGAGGTTAGGAGACACAGGAAGACACAAGCTTTCAGGGACTTGAGGGTCCCAGGGCAGGAGCAAGTGGATGGATGACCAAAACAGACACAGATGCTTCACTTGAGGCCTTAGGGTCAAGCAGGTGGGATGGGGAGGCCTTGTATCACAAACTGAATTTTCCCCTCCTCCTCAGAAAGGTTTGGAAAAGAAGGAAACAGAAGGTCTAACAAAGACTGTGCCAGGAAAGAGAGGGTCAGACAGACAGAACAAAGGCAGAAAACAGACCTGCAGCTGCAGTGAAAGCAACAGTGCTGACCTCCAACACATTCCCGAACTTCATTCCAGACCTCTCATGACCTTCTTGCCCTTCCTTTGTACCTCACTGTCCCGTCTGCCTTGCAGTTATTCTGTTAGCTCCTGGAGCCCCCGCTAAGTGTCCTGAGCCAGCGACAGAACCAAAGGGGTGAGAGTGCTGGAAGGGGTCCCACATGCAGCCGTGAGTTATAGGGGAACAGATTGGGAGTGCCGTGCAGAGGTCACACTTTTGTGGGAGGGCTCAGTGCAGTGCCAAGTGTCACAAGACAGTGGGTGAAACCAGGGCATCAGGTGGAAACTAGTGCTTGGTGGCAGTGATGGAGTGCTCTGTGGAGGTATGAAAACAGTATGGAGACCAAGTTCAGAGTTTATTAAGTAGCAGAGAGGGGTGGAGGCCAGCCAGTGGAGGAGACAGTGGATAGAAGAAGGAAGCCAGTGCCAGAGTGGGTGTGAGGTGGTGGGGCCTCTCCCTAGGCTGCCCCCAGCCTGGCTGTGCCAATCTGTCTTTCTCTTGCCTGTCCCTTTCCCTGAGAGAGAATGGAAAGAGGGAGCGAAGAGGGCCAAGGCGGCACATGGTGCTCAGAGAGAGGTGATGTCATTGAGTGCGTTGTCCAGCTCCTCGCTGATGGCCTTGTACTTCATCTTCTGTGCATACACTTCATCTGGGGGGAGGGTTTCCACGGAGGGGGACCAGGTAGGAGTGTGGGGAAAGGGAGTGGAGGGAAGGAGGACAGGAAGGAGAGAAGGTGATGGAAAGAGAGAAGAAGAATCAGAGACAGAATAAGAGACAGAGGCCAAAGAAAAAGCCAGACAGCTGTCAGGGCTCCCTTCTCCCCTTTCTCTGTCCAACTCTCTCCTGTCTCCTGTTCTCCAAAAAGCTTCTCCCTATAGAGCATCAGCCTACATCCCAAGAGTCTGTGGGCATGGTGCGCTGGACAAGCAGGCATGCTTGCTTAAGTGAAATAAGAAGGGAGTTTAACCAGAAAGGCCAAAAGTCCTAACTGGAGATACACCAGTGCTTGCCTGAGAAAGCCAGACACAAGAAATGTGGGTGTAAAGTTATCAGAATGAAAAGGAAAGGTATAACAATACTGTTGATAACAGGAAAAGAATCACAGACTTAGAAAATACCTGGATGTCTGTTTTTGCCAAGGATAGCTTAAAGTAGTAGATCTTCCACTAATGTCATGCAAAGTCAGACACTAAGTCAGAATAGCTTTCTATTCCATAAACAAGTCTTGGTGATATGATTGTATAGTACTGCCCATGGAAATAGCCATTTGTTAGACCAGGGCTGCTCCAAGTGTGGCCGGAAGACTAGCAGAATCGGCATTACCGATGGAGCTTGTCAGAAATAGCAATTCACCAATCTAAAGTCAGCAAGCACTTTGGGGAACCTGTGGAGTTTTTTGAACCCAAGGTTTCCCAGAATTCTACTGCTGAGCTGCACCCCAGCCCTCAAGAGCAGGTCATTTTTGTACATGCTAAATTCTGAGAAGCAATGGAGTTGATGTACTGTACTCCCCTACCATTCCTTGAATGGTAGACCTAGCCCAAGAGAGGGTGTGGAGTCCAGGGTGCTTGATCTAACCCTAGTTTATGGGATGGGGAGATAAGAGACAGGCTGAGAGTGACAGCGGTGTGGAGAGGACTATCCCTTTTACCTTCCAGGTCATCAATGGTTTTCTCCAATTTGGCCACAGATCTTTCAGCAAATTCTGCTCGGGTCTCAGCCTGGGAATAAAGGTGAGATAAGGGATAGATGAGATGAGGCAAAGAATTAGGCCCGCCCAGAGAGTTCCACCTTCCCAGCTGGGGATAGGGGCTCAGGCATGTGGTTACTTGGGAAACAGAAATCAGGGAATTTTAGCTTGAGGTCAGCCAGGCATAAAAGTTTGTGAGACTCCATCTTAATCAATGATTGAGCATGGAGTCACATGCCTATCATCCCAGCTATAGGAAATACATAATAGCTGGGCACAGTGGATGCCTGCATCCCCAGTGACCCCAGGAAGTACAAACAGAATCACAGCCCAAGCTTGCCTAGGCATAAATGGAGACCATCCCTTGAATATAACCAATTCAAGCTAGAGGCATGGCTCAAGTGGTACAACACAAGTGTGAGGCCCTGAGTTCAGTCCTTAGTACACAGACAATCCCTATCTCCCCAAATTCTCTTGCCACTGGTAGTCTCTACCAGGAGAGGGTAGCTTGAAGGAAGACTGGGAGCTGAAAGGTTTCTCACCTCCTTTAGCTTCTCCTCCAGCAGTTTGATCTCCTCTTCGTATTTGTCCTCTTTGGTGGAATACTTTAAGGGACATACAGATGCCATCAGCACATCACCTCCTTGATCATTTATCCACGGAGCCCTCAGGCTCCTCCTCACCTTGCCTCTGTTGAGTAGCCCACCCTCCCTGCCTTGGCCCTCCCCTCCCTCCCCTGTAGGACCCCATCCTCACTGCCCCTCTACCCCCTCTACCTTGTCTGCTTGGGCCTCCAGTGATTTCAAGTTGTTGGTAACAATTTTCAGCTCTTCCTCTAGGTCCCCACATTTACTGCAGGGGTGTGTGGCAGGGTGAGGTGTGAGCGCGCAGGGAGGCGACAGTGAGGGTGGCACAGTGAGGAAGGGGTGGAGGAGAGAAGAGAAGAGCCAAGTGATGAGAGTGACAGCAGGCAGAATTCAGAGGCCCCGGGCCCTCCCTGGACCCCTACAGGTAAGAGAAAGCAGCTGGAGATGCTGAAATGGAGGAGAAGGTGAGCCAGGAAAAGGTGCCATTGCCCAGAGAGGTCACTACCTCCTCCTCTGAGGCCATCAAGGACTTGAGGGCCTGGTCCATGGTTCGAAGTTCCTCCTCCAGCTGCCTGGCTCGGCTGGGGGCATCAGGCATGGGTTAGAGGACAGGATATGTCCCTATGGCCCCTATGGCTTGGGAAATTGCCTGTCTATTATGCAGGGTACCCCATAGCCATGGACTCAGGCCAAGTTCCACTGGTTGCCCCCCGCAAGGGTCTCCTCACCTCTCAGCCACCTCAGCTCTCTCTTCTGAGCGCTCCAGCTCTCCTTCTAGGATCACCAGCTTCCTGGCCACCTGAGAGAAGTGGACGAGAGAAATAGGTAAGTGGTGATCACTGGGAATATACAGCACTTGGGAGTAGGAAGGCAGGGGGCCATGGTTCTCACCTCCTCATATTTGCGATCTGAGTCTTCAGCAATGTGCTTAGCCTCCTTCAGCTGCATCTCCTGCAGCTCCATCTTTTCCTCATCCTTCATGGCCCTGTTTTCGATGACCTTCATTCCTCTGAGAGGCAGGGAGAAGGGTATGTGGGTTAAGCACCAGCAGAGACAGGTTCCTTCCCCAGTCCTTGATCCACTCCTCAGAACCCCATGCCCACCTCTCGCTCTCATCAGCTGCCTTCTCAGCCTCCTCTAGCTTTTGCAAGGCTGTAGCCAGGCGCTCCTGTGCACGGTCCAGCTCTTCCTCTACTAGCTGAATGCGGCGGTTCAAAGAGGCCACATCTGCTTCAGCCTGTAGATCAAAAGAGGTCAAAAAGTCTTTGTCTGCCTTGGGTGAGAATCAGACAAGACTCTAGAAGATGGTAAGATTCTCCTCAGGAGGAATCTAGGCTCCACTGGATGTTGGTGGCTCATGCTGTATACTAGCTATTCTAGAGGCTGAGATTTGGAGGATTCGTGGTTTGAGGCCAACCTGGGCAGAAAAGTCCTTGAGATTCCATCTCCAAAATAATCAACAAAAGCCAGGATGAAGGCATGGCTTCTGAGTTCAAACTCTAGTACCAGTAAAAGAAGGAAGGAAGCAAGAAAGAATGAACCTAGACTCCCTCGCTTCTAGACTTACAACCTGATTTTCCCCTAACAACCTTCTGCTTACTCAGTGCTCTAACCCCAAACCTAGATTCCTTGACCATCTCCACACCACTTCTGTGGGCCTCTTCTGGTACTGTGTGTGGTGGGTGTCTTCAAATGCTGAGGCAGACCTGATTCAGAGAAGAGCCTTGCCCAGGTAAGGGGGTTAGTATCAGGTCAAGCCGACTTCAATGTTGCTAAAAATGGCCAATCACAGAATCAAGCTCAGTGATGTCAGCAGTTGCCAGGCAGATTCCCAACATGGGATCCAAGCCAGGTCTACAAGGGACGCTCATGGCTCTAGCCAGGGGCTTCCTGCCAAGGCCAAGAGACAGCTGGGGGCAGTGTAAGTGACAGATACTCAGTCTCTGGTCTTGCAATATGGACGCAAAACCTCAGACCTTTTGGAGAAGGTCCACGAAAACTAAGGATACCCTGAGAGAAAGACACAGGGCAGGATTGGAGGTGTGGCTCAAGTGACAGAGCACCAGACATGACCAGAAAACTTAGACCAATCTAGGTTCAAGTCCTGGCACCAAAATAAATAAATAAAAATACAAGGCAGATGGGCTGGGAAGGTAGCTTAGTGGTAGAGCGCTTGCCTTGCATGCATGAGGCCCTGGGTTCGATTCCTCAGCAACACATAAGCAAAAAGAAAAAAAGCTAGAAGTGGTGCTGTGGCTCAAGTAGTAGAGTGCTAGCCTTGAGCTGAAGAGCTGAAGGACAGCGCCCAGGCCCAGAGTTCAGGCCCCACGACCGGACCCCCCCCCCCCCCGAAAAAAAATACAAGGCAGAGCAAGACCAGCTTTCACAAAGGAAACTAAGAGCAGAGTGTGGTTTAGTGTTAAGAGCACCGGCTTTGAGTCAGACTGTCTCTTTGGGCCACAGATCAAGCACCCAGCACTTGTTATATGAACCTTGGGCAACTTATTTAGCTTTTCTAATCCTCAGTTTCCTCCTTCATAAATTAAGTTCCTACTCAAGGCTAAGGTAAAGTAGTACTTCTATTACTCAATAAACAGGATGATAAAAACAAACAGGTTCTCTAGCTCTACAGATCTACTGAATTGAGATCCAATGGGGAGAGGTCTTGGGAGTCGGTCTGTCTGTCTATCTATCTGATGATAAGGTAATGTATGGAGATCATGAAATAACACACAAGAAACACTTGGGCACACTGTTTACATAAAGCACACACTCAATAAATGTTAGATGGCCCTGTTTTTCCCTCAAAGATAAAGATACAAGCTGGGTGCTGGTGGCTTACTGCTATAATCCTAGCTGCTCAGGAGGCTGAGATTTTAGGATCACGGTTCAAAGCCAGGTGGGGCAGGAAAGTTGTGAGACTCTTCCAAATAAACTACTCAAAAAAGCTGGAATTGGTGCTGTGGCTCAACTGGGAGTGTGCTCACCTTGATCAAAAGCAGCTCAGGGACAGCACCCAGATGCAGGGTTCAAGCCCCGAGACCAGCAAAAAAAAAAAAAAAAAAAGATAAAGATACAAAGACCTCAAAGAGGTCTATGAGGGAAAAAGAGGACCAGTGTGTATGGGAGCGGAGCTGACTGGAGGGTGGAGCTTAGTGCAGCAATGGGGACAGAGGGCATATAAGGCTGGTCCTGGAGGCACTTCAGGGCAGGAGAAACAGCACCATATATAGAAAGTGGATTATGACTTGTTGTTCAGGTGCCTACAGTACCTGGAGCTTGGCCACGTAGAGTGGCAAGAGACTATTATGGGCCCAGGGCCCAATGACTCAGTGTGGAAAGACTGTGGGGAAACATTGGTATGGGGAAGAATGTCTCGGGGTACAACTCTAGAGATGAGATTCTGAGACTGGAGACCTGTTTTTGTGGTGGTTGGGGTACACATGACTGTCAAGTCTGGGAAATCCTGGGGTCCTCATCACAAGATTGACATTCACCATGACAGCTCTCTAACCACAGGATAGGATCTACCATTCCCCTCAGGACAAATAGGAAGTAGGAGAGAAGGGAGAAACTGAGGAACTGTGTAAGTTAATTACTGTGCCCAAGGTCATACCATAAATCTGAGCTGTGTTTCCTATCCACTCCTGGCACTATTACTCTGCTTCCCAGGCTCTGTCCTTGGCCCCTACCCCGCCAGCCCCCACCCAGCTCCTTGGGTTTCCAGTCCTGCCTCCAGCTGCACTGGGCCTTAGTTATTTATAGAGTGTCAGATGCCCAGGGTCGTCTTTGCTAGCAGCTGCAGGTCAGTTTTCTCCCAAGTGCCAGGGCTGGTGGAGAACCTAAAGTGGAGGCTGGAGGTCAAAGCAGCCCAACCCTGGGGGTGGAGGGTGAGGAGAATGGCCAACACAAACAGGAATGTCATCTCTGATGCTGAGGCCATCACAGACTCCTCTTAAATTTAAAACAAACATGAGTGGAAGACAGAAAGGAAAACTGAGACAGGGACTCGTGAAAATTCCACATGCAAAATCATATTTCCTATTAAGGTAAGGGTTGGGAATGGCAAGTAATAGAGGTGTCTGATTGGGATTGGGGGGGTGGGCAGACATCTCAGGGTAAGCAGAACCTGCCAAGGTAGCAGCTTTGGCAGTTGTGGCTCTGTCCCTCTGCCCGGCGGCCTGGCACAGACCCGAGGCTGACAGCTTAATGAGGGTAAATGAAGAGCCTAGAACCTGAGCTGAGGCCTCAGGGCACAGCAGGGCTGCTAGAGCCAGAGGTCAAAGCTAGGGAATTTCTAATGGCTTCTTAGGTGTGTAACTCAAGTCAGGGCCTCTTTGTGGGATCCCTTGCCCTCTTTCTGCCCCCTACCATCTCATACTCTCTCACACACCCCAAATATAGCCACAGTTTCCTCTCATTTTCAGCAGGATTAATTGAGGGAGATGGTAAATTCTCCCACCCCCACCCACAGGATGACTCATGAGTTGATCACTGTACATTCTAAGAGCTGGAACCAGAGGGAATTACAATGCTAAGTCCTAGGGGGAAGTGGTAGGTGGTTTTGATTTACCCACTGTCCAGATTGTGTAAGCCTGCCCTAGCTGGGGTTAAGGAAAGGAAACACGTATGTTCTGGTGCTGGGGAAGTCCCCTTTTTCTCTTCTAGCCCCAGCCTGGACCCATCCCCGGTGCCTCCCAAGTCTCCACTCACATCGGTGGCCTTCTTCTCGGCCTGCTCCAGTTTCTCCTGGGCATCCTTCACTGATTCAGAATACTTTTCCACCTCGTCTTCTGTCCCCTTTAGCTTCTTCTGGAGGGCCTGCTGCTCTTCCTCCAGCTAGGGAGAGGACAGTTGGTCAGCCAGGCCTGGGTAGGAGCCCAGGAAGTAGAAAAGAGTGGTCAAGGTGCTAGGAGATATTTGGAGGTGTGGGGGGGGGGGGGGGAAGAAGGATAAAAGAGGGGACACCCAGTTGGGGAGGTTGTGGAGTTGTTAGGATAGTTTCCAGCCCCGAAGGACAGGAACCACCATTGCAAGGACAGGAGTGGTAACTAGGAGCTCTCCAGGGCCTTGAAGAGTGAAGCCCAAGGCTGGGGGCCAGGGCTTGTCTGAGGCGGGGAGAGGCTGGCTGTACGGGAGGCAGGACCCCACCTGCTTGCAGCGGTCCTCCGCTTGCTTCTTGTCTGCCTCGGCCTGCTCGGCGCGGTCGATGGCATTCTCCTTGTCCAGCTTCAGCATCTGCATCTTCTTCTTGATGGCGTCCATGGCTGCGGTGGGGGGTGGGCCGGCCGAAGGGCGGTGAGGACCGGGTGGATTGGGCTAGCTGCGAGGACCGGGCTCACGGAGGCCGGATCGGGAAGACCCAGGGGGACTGGGATGTCCCCGCCGCGCCGGCGTCTAAAAGGCGGGGAGGGACCGGGCGGAGCCGGGGACCTGGACCCTCCCCCACCGCGGCCCAAACCTTGTAGGGGCAGAAGCAGCTCGGCCCGGCCAGGGGGCGCGGCCGCCCCCTGCGCCCAGCCCTCGGGGCCGGCCCCGGAGCCCCGCCCCTGCCTCCTCCCCCTCCCCCGCAGCCAGCCGTCGGAAGGCAGAGATAGCCCACCGCGGAGCAGTCCTGGCCGGCGGAGGGGAGGGGACGCTGGGGCTGGGGGCTCTGCGCGTCCTGAGTGACAGCCGGGCTCCGGGGCAGCTGCGGCTGGGGCCCCGGGGCTATTTCGGGGCGTGAGCTCACGGCAGCTGCCTAGGCCCAGGGACCCGAATGTCCTCCCCCACCCTCAGCTGCAGCCGCAGCCGCCGCTGCCCTTAATTTAGAAGTTTCTAGTAAATCCCCCCCCCTCCGGATTGAATGTCTCTTGGGAGGGCGAATCGCCTCCGTGCCTAGCGTGCCTCAGTTTACCCGACATTCCAAACTCCAGATTTGCATTACCCACGTGTTTAGGGGTAGCAGTCTCAGCGCGGGCTTGGGGAAACTGAGGCAGAAGGCCTGCTGCCCCCACCCCCACCCCCAGGGCGTCCCTTCTCAGCTTCAGCCCCTGGAGCCAGTCCCTCCCCCGCCCCCCTTTCTCGCGCGCCTGGCAGATCGGGACCCAGCTCCTAGCCTGCCCGCCCCACCCCCCACGTGCCCCGCATACTTTCCACGCGCCGCCGGCGGCGGGCGGGACCAGGCGCGCTCCCCGCCCCCACTCCCACCCGGGACGCGTCCTCCCCGCCCCCTGGGGCTCCGTCTGCCCCCCCCCGCCCCGCCCGCCGCCGCTCCGCGCCCACCCCCCCCGTCCCCGCCCCTCCTCCCAGCGGACGCGGCTCTCCTTCCCAGTGGGCCAACTTTACGCCGAAATTTCTTTTCTGCCCTTTTTTGGGATGTTTCCCCGAGGGGAGGCGGAGCCGGGCTGGGCGGAGGAATGGGGGCTGCGGGGCGTCGGGAGCCCGGGGCGGACGTGGGTGTATGGGGGGGGAGATGAGATCACCCCCCAATCCGAGACCGCACTCGGCTCTGCGACCCGGCCCTCGGGTTGGGAAGTCTGGGGCGCGGGGCTCCGGGCGGGTCTGTTTTCTGTCTCCCACCCCGGGAGGGGGCGGAGGGCGTGGGAGCCCTGGGCGGAGGGGTGGGCGGCGGAGGGCGCCTGGGGCGCGGCGGGCTGCCTGGACCCGCCTGCTTCACGTACAGACCTGCGGACCCCGCACCCCATCGCTTTGTGTTCCTCAACCTCCGTGCAAGGCCACGGGCCGCTTCCGCCAGGAGCCGGTGCTAGGTCCGGGTGGGGCGGGGTGGGGCGGATATTGGGCTCTCACCGCCCTCTATTAATACTGAGGGTCCTGCGTCTCCTGAATTAGGTTCTTCTTCGAAGTCGGCTTTGAGCCTGCCTTTTGCCGGGCTTCCAGTTCCCAACCGACTCTTTAGTTCCCCACCGTCAGCTGGTTGCGTTGGCATTGCTGCCCATGTGCTCTGTTGCTCCCCATCCCTCCCCCCCTCCTTAAAGCAAATAGGATCTAGAAATAGCTCCTCCCCACTCTCCACTCAGCTTTGGAGACAAAAAAAAAAAAAAAAACCCACATTTCTTAATATGGTATAGAAGGTCTTTTGTTTGGACTCCTGACTACCTCTCTCATTCATTTCATTCTCAGCCCTCACCCCCATGCTCAGACTTGGACTTCATGCTACATTCATATTGAGCTACGTACAGGGGCTGGGAATTGCCATCGTTTTCTTAGAGCTTTCACATCGTTTTTGTCTGTGCTGTTTCTGGGGCTTGAACTCAGGGCCTGGGCTTTGTCCCTTGTGCTCTACCACTTGAGCCGCAGCTCCACTGCCAGCTTTTTTTTTTTTCTTCTTCAGTTGATTGGAGATAAGAGTCTCCTGGACCTTCCTGCCTGGGGTGGCTTTGAAGCTTGATCCTCAGTTCTCAGCCTCCCAAGTAGCTGAGATTGCTGGCTTGAGCCATGGAGAGCCAGTAGGCTGAGCTTTCACATTTTATGCATTCTGTTCCCTCTCCCTAAGATGCCCTTCTCCTAGGTTGATTCCTGGTGGCCTTTATGACTCAGATCAAGTGTCAACTTTTCTGGGAAGCCTGCCCTGGCCTCATCACCTCCTCACCCCTTCCACCTAATAGGTGCTTGTTCTAGGTGTAGATTATCATTCTTATCCTAACCCCTGGGGTACGTTTTTGTACTAGTTGGTCCCTTCCACTGGTCTATGAGTCCTCCAGAATATGGACTAACCTTTTCAATTCTGAATCCTTAATGCCTAACACAGCACCAAGCTTTAGAGTGGTACTTAATTAACATTCGATATATGGTTTTACATTCTGAGCACACAAATACATTAGCGTGTGGACCTAGAGGAAATCATGGTTTAGTGTTGCAGATATCAGACAGATTTTTTTGGTTTCAGAACACCTTATATTCTTAAAAATATTGAAACTTTCAAATAGCTTTTATTGAAATGGGTCATACCCATGAATATTTGGCATATTAAAATGGAAATGAAGGCAATCTAACTATTAATGTATTTTGTAAAAACCTATTATATATATAAATGTTAATAAAAACTTTTGATCTGTTGGTTTCTGAAGTACTATGAGGAAAATCCAGCCTCACACAGATAAGTAGTTGAAAAAAAAAACACTTTTCAGTTAATTGTGGATATTCTTTGTTGCTACACCCATGCTTATACAAAGGTTGTTTCTTAATAGTCGGGATGTGGAACCTGAAACCATATCAATAATCTTTTTCCTTTCTTCTTTCCTTCCTTGCTTCCTTGCTTCCTTCCTTCCTTGCTTCCTTCCTTCTTTATTTCCTTCCTTCCTTCTTTCCTTCTTTCCCTCCTTTCTCTCTCTTCCTTTCTTTCCTCTCTCTCAATCTTTCTTTTTCTTATTTGGTAGTACTGGCTGTATTACTTAAACCACTCCTCCAGGATCCCCTTCATCTTATACTATGCTACATTGAAATCCATTCATCTGCATTATGTTACTGGATTTTTTTTTCTTTTTTTTGGGTCTGTTGTGGGGCCTGAACTCTGGGCCTGGGCGCTATCCCTGAGCTCTCAGCTCAATGCAAGCCCTCTACCACTTGAGCTACAGTGCCACTTCCGGTTTTCTAAGTGGTTTATTGGAGATAAGAGTCTCACTTCATGCCTAGACTGGCTTTGAACTGTGATCCTCAGATCTCAGCCTCCTGAGTAGCTAGGATTATAGGCATGAGCCACCCGTGCCTGGCTTGCTGGATTTTTGTTATTGTTGATGGTGGTGGGGCTTGAACTCTGGGCCTAGGGACTGTCCCTCAGCTCTTCAGCTCAAGGCTAGCACTCTACCACTTGAGCCACAACACCACTTCCGGCTTTTTTTTTCTGTTTATGTGGTGCTGGGGAATTAAAGGCAGGTCCTCAAGCATGCAAGGCAAGCACTCTACCACTGAGCCACCTTCCCAGCCCTTACTGGATTTTTTTTTTTTTTTTTTTTTTTTTGTCGGTCGTGGGGCTTGTACTCTGGGCCTGGGCGCTGTCCCTCAGCTCTTCAGCTCAAGGCGAGCGCTCTACCACTTGAGCTACAGCGCCACTTCTGGTTTTCTGGTGGTTTATTGGAGATGGGAGTCTCACGGTCTTTCCTGCTCGGGCTGGCTTTGAACCGCGATCCTCAGATCTCAGCCTCCTGAGTAGCTAGGATTACAGGCGTGAGCCACCAGCACCCGGCTCTTACTGGATTTTTTTAAACACACAAATAATTGTGTAACAACAAGCATTGACCATTTGGAAAATAGTGATTCACTAAACCAAGCAGTTCTTCCAAATGTGGACATACTTCATTATACTATACTTAATAAAAAAAATGCATTTCTTGGCAGGCACCAGTAATGCCTGTAATCCTATCTAATCAGGAGGCTGTGATCTGAGGATTGTGGTTCAAAGCCAACCTGGACAGAAAGTCTATGAGACTCTTATCTCCAACTAACCACAGAAAGCCAGAAGTGAAGCTGTAGAGGGCTACTCTTAAGCACAAAAGCTCAGGGACAGTGCCCAGACCTAGAGTTCACGCCCCAGGACTAGTTATAAAAAACAAAACAAAGCAAAACCCATTCTGTAATATCATAACTTGTTTCAACACAAAGTCTTTAAGTTTTAAATTAAGATAAAAATTTCCCAAAATTTGAATTTTCACTTGAAATCTTGAGCTGTGTAATTGGCAACAAATGCTGTCAGATTTTTTCCTGAAATAACAGATTTACTATTCCTTTTTTGAGGAAAGACTGCCTGTTAAGCAAATCTGAGAACCATAGTTTTGGGCTGTTCTTTCAAAGGGGCATGGTTGGTTTTTTGTTTTTGGGTTTTTTTTTTTTTTTTTATCATCAGTCGTGGGGCTTGAACTCTGGGCCTGGGCACTGCTCCTGAGCTTTTCAGCTCAAGGATAGCGTTCTACCACTTGAGCCACAGCGCCACTTCCAGCTTTTTCTGCTGCTGTGGTGCTGATGAATCAAGCCCAGGGCCTCATGCCTGCAAGGCAAGCGCTCTACCACTGAGCCACCTTCCCAGCCCCGAAAGCATGATGTTTTACACAAACAAAAATAGCTGTTTTAGCTTGGGATTAAAAAAATGTTCTTAAATATTTTCCTCAGGAAAACCATAGCATTTTGTTATATGAGCTTTATGCATGCTTCTCAGATCTTATGACAAATTACTGAAAACGTAAGTCATGGGAGAGGGTAGATTTCATTGCTACATTTCACATAAATATATAATGTATTATTATCAACCTCACCCCCTCTATCATTTTCCATGCCCCATTCTTCCCTTCCCCAAACAACATGAATAAGTTTTATTGTTCTATTGTTCTAATCCATTTTGACTGTCTTTAGCCTTCTTCATCTTCCTTGTTAGCCCATCTCTTTCCCACTTGTACTCCCCTCCCCCACGCCTCACACACACATCAGGACCAGGAGTCTATTTCTCTTTCCCCACTGAGGCCCCAATCTCCTATCTCCCT